TATATATATATATATTTATTTCCCTCCCACTGACAAACTACCATGGTTCAAGTCCTTCACCTACAGCATCTTTTCAATGTAAAATATGGATAGTGGTCTTCCCCTCATCCCATCCAGAATCACAAAGTCTGAGAACAGCCTCTAATTCTCTGTGATTACGAAAACAACCCCAAACAAAAAACTGACTACAGCAAGTAATACTGTAACTCTTGCATTATTGGTATTTAATCCTGTGTCTGTAGCCAGCTGATTTTAAAAAAATGTCCTTTCCTAAAACCTCTAAATTCCAGCAGGACTTCAAGAGAAAACGCTCAGAACTGGGCATTTAGAGAGTAAATCTTAATTTCTATAGTATTTTTCATTCAAAGTTCTCAAAGCACCCATAGCATAGAAAAGTTAAGGATTTGTTTTAAAACCCATTAATGTCAGTGAACAAGTCTTCCATTGACTTCTATGGGGTTTGGGACAGGACTTATGAGTGAGGAGAAATGGACTGCATAGCTATTCCAGAATAAATTATTCTACAATGTCTATTAAAATAACTCCCTATGAGGATACTCGTTGTCACTTTTATTTCAGAATAATTACTCCATTTTGGCTGTTTATAGAGGCTGGGAACCCATCTACCCAGATCAGAATGTTTTGTTTCTAAGTGCTAGAATCGCTGTTGCATTGTAGTGTAGACAATGACTGCAGCAATGGAAGATGATTTTTAACCACCGTACTTAATCCACTTTTCCAAGAGGTGAAAGCTAGAGTTTCTAAAGTGGGGTTAGGTCAATATAACTATGTAGGTCAGGACATGAAATTTTTCACAGCCCTGAGCAATGCAGCTAGGTCCAGCCACTCTTAGGTGTAGACTAGGCCTATGGTATCCTCTGGTACCTCAGGGCTGCGTCTAGATTGGCATGATTTTCTGGAAATGCTTTGAACGGAAAAGTTTTCCGTTAAAAGCATTTTCAGAACAGAGCGTCTAGATTGGCACAGACGCTTTTTCGCAAAAGCACTTTTTGCGGAAAAGCGTCCGTGCCAATCTAGACGCGCTTTTCCGCAAAAAAGCCCCGATCGCCATTTTCGCGATTGGGGCTTTTTTGCGGAAAACAAATCTGAGCTGTCTACACCTGAACAGGAGCAGAATAGTATTTCCGCAAGAAGCACTGATTTCTTACAGTAGGAAGTCAGTGCTTTTGCGGAAATTCAACGGCCAGTGTAGACAGCTGGCAAGTTTTTCTGGAAAAGCGGCTGATTTTCCGGAAAAACCGACCAGTCTAGACACAGCCCAGAAGTCCCTAACTTTCATTCCCTCAGGGACTATTATTCTCAAATTGTGTCATTTCTCTGGGACACCCATTCTCAGTCATGGCCAGGTCACACATTTTAAAAAAGGCATTAAACCCCATATAAAATAGAGTTTAAGGCATGCTAATTAAAATATATTATTGGCACACTTAAAACAGAACCTATTTTCCTAGGAACACTTGGGCTATGTCTACACTCCAGACCTTACAGAGGCACAGCCTCACTGTTGTAAGGTCTCCCATGTAGATGCTCTATGCTGACAGGAGAGCATTCATGCCAGCATAATAAATCAGCCCCAATGAGTGGCTATGTTGGTGACAGATGCTCTCCCGTTGACACAGTGCTGTCCACTTGGCATTTTTGTCAGTGAAACTTAAGTAGCTCAGGGTATATTTTTTCACACCCTTGACTGACAAAAGTTTTACCAACAAAAGTGCTAGTGTAAGTTTATGGCAAACAAGGATGCAAATGTACCCTGCTGTACATCCACTAAGGGTATGTTGACGCTGCAAAAAAAAATCTTCTGTGCCAAGTCTCAGAGCCCAGGTCAGCTAGCTCAGGATTGTGAGGCTAAAAATACCCATGTAGATGTTCAGACTAGGGCTGGAGCCCGGCTCTGAAACCCAACAAAGGAGGCAGGTCTGAGCCAAACATCTACACTCCTACTGTTAGTCTGAGCCCCACAAGCTCAATTCAATTGACCTTGATCTGAAACTCAGTGCCTTGGGTTTTTCTTTGCAGTGTAGACAAACCTAATTGTTCTTAAACAACAAATGGTCTGGTAGCATTTTATAGACTAACAAAACATGTAGATGGTATTATGAGCTTTCGTGGGCACAGCCCACTTCTTCAGATGACCATGAGCTGTTCCCACAAAAGCTCATGATATCATCTACATGTTTTGTTAGTCTATAAAGTGCTACCAGACCATTTGTTGCTTTTTATGTTTATCCTGTACAGACTAACTTGGCTATCCCCTGAAGCTTCTAATTGTTCTCGGGGCTCCTGCTGCTAGCGTTGCCAGGTGTCCGGTATTGACCCAGACAACCCGGTATTTTCGCCTCCTGTCGGGTAAAAAAATTCAGAAAATACAGGACACCTAACATGTCCTGTATTTTCTGATTTTTTTTCCTGGCCAGGAGGCGAAAATCCTGGGCACTTACCTGGTTCTGCAGGGGAGCTGTCTGGCCTGGAGCAGGGAGACACGGTGGCTGCTGGCAGTGTTTTAGGGCAAAAAAGCCTCAAAGGCATTTATTAAAGGATCCATGCTGTTTAATTTTATTTATTTATTTATTTATTTAGCTAGGAAGCCAGGATGCAAGGAAAAGGAAATGTGAAGGCAGGACAGCCAAGTCCTTGGCTCTCGGGGTCTTTTTTTTTTTTTGCCAAATAACTTTGGTCCCCCCCCCCTTTTTTTTCCTCAACAGAATTGTTTCCCTGGTGTTTTTGTTTTTTGTTTTTTGGTGGTGGTGGGGTGTTTGGTAATTTTGGTTAATCCATCTGGCAACCCTACCTCCTGCTGCTAGCTAAAAGTTCCTTAGTCTACTCACGTTTCAAAGCTGATTAGTGAGAATCATTTATAATGCTGGAGAGTAAATGTAATGTCCATGGATCATGAGCAATCTTATCTGCAGTGTACAAAACTCAGTGTATAGCACCCTCCTGGCTATTTCTGGCAATGCACAGCTCTGCCAAAGCAATGAACTGCAGCTCCCAGGGCTATTCCAGTCCTGCGAACCACTCAGGGCTGTGTAGAATACTGTGGTGCCTGAGTTGTGGCTAAGTGTCCAGTGAAGCATTAGATGAGACCATCCAATTTATTCTCACTTGTGGTCACATCAGAATTGGAAGCCAAGTCTCCAGAGGCAACAGGCCAGACCATGAACCCTGTCACTCATTATGCAGTTCAATAACAAATCGTAACTATGTATTTGTAGCCATTTAAAGATCTCATCAGTTACAATGACAAAGTCTTGAATAGCTGTCAGTAACCAGGCAAATATGCTGATTAATGGAAATGGAACATGGAAAACGGGACATTACCTTCCTTATTTCTTTAGCTGTAATTGTTCCAGATCTGTGCCCGGGAAGAATCCCTCAGGGCTTATCAGAGCAACCACCACAAAAGGAGAACAAAAGAAACACCAATCATTTCAAGTAAATTACAAAGATGACAAGCTGTAACCTTCAAGGAGTGAGTAGATTCCTGCAAAGGACTTGGCTGCTCTGCCTTCACATTTCCTTTTCCTTGCATCCTGGCTTCCTAGCAAATGTTCCCTCAAACAATAGAAAGTGTCATCAAAGAAACTAAACCTTTCCCTTCCTCCCACTGCTCTAGCAAAAAGGCTTGCAAGAGAACTTGGTTCCAGGACACTGCTGCATCTCCCTTACAGGTACATAAGTCACTGTACCTTATTCTTTGTATAGCAACAGTGCCTAGGAGCCAATTATGGACCGGACTCCACAGTGCTAGGTGCTGTGCAAACACAAACCCCAAAAAGGTTACAGTCTAATAAAAGGGCTACAAGTTGACCTTAACCGACATCTAGGGAATCCTCTATATCAGGACTATTCAACACGCATGCGGCTCGCGGCCTGTTTGTTTGTGACCCACAGTGCAATTTGGGTTTACATGGGGCTCAACACGCAGCCTGTGGGTAGGATCCTTTGAACATGGCCTCTGCTGGAAACACGGTCCACAACGGCAAGTCAATATAATGGTCTTCTGTTGATATGCATTTTAGTAGTTAAATTCTTGGACTGTCATTGCTCATTAAAAGTGCTGTCATATGGGTGGAAAATCGGGTAAATATTGCATTTTATTAATATCAGCAGAACTGAGTTAAATGGGGCTTGTGTGTTGGGTAGTCTTGCCTTAATCTTTGTATTCATGCCTATCAGTGTGAAAGAATCTATTTGCATATATATTTGCATGTATAGGCAGTCCCTGGGTTACGCAGATCCAACTTATGTCGGATCCGTACTTATGAACGGGGCTTTTCTCGCCCCGGAGAATGCAGGCGG